TCTTCCATTAGTTCATTTAAGTTTTCCTGTGTTTCTCTTAATTCTACATATTAATCTCTTATAGTATGTGCATTTCTTATTCCCTTATTTTCACGTACCACATGTTTAGCCTTCCACTGATAGATGGGAGCGTACTTTGCCTCCAGTATTTCACTCTTTAAAAAAAAAATGTTGCTCTGAATATACAATATACCTTTAAGAGGCTAAAGAGTTGTTACTTTTCTAGCTACTTCCCTTTGGAACATGTTTCTAGTCCCTCCTATAAAGATTTCTCTTCTCCCTACCCCACCCCCAACTAGTAACTGAAATTACTTTCCCAGATCTTTGCAATGCAAATACAGCTATAAAACCAGTCACGTGTCTAAGCTAATCAATCATGTTGTGGACGCTCCAGTGTTACAAGATTCAATGAATGAAAAGCAAAGTACTGGGCTCTGTGGGGGAGCTGAGCACTGATGAAAGGGAAAGGGGGTCCATCCCTTTGGAAGAAGGCAGGCCCGTGGCCCAGCTTTCTTTATGGCATTGGGTTCTATAGTAGATACACTACATGATAATTCCTATTATAATACAATCAGTTCTAAAGGGACTATCTACATTCTTTGGCTGAGAGGGTGTCATTGAGGGCGAACATGGATGAAATAAACAGGTCCCCCCTGGGGTTCTGGAATCTTTTTATATCAAAATCTTCATTGTAATAGGATTTCTTCTCACAGTCTGACTTGTAGTACCATATGAATATGAATAGCAATAATAATGTTGATCACTAGTGATCATTATCTTGTTTAATATTGTGGTTTCTAATTATTATTGTTATTAGACTGGGGTTAAAATGATTCCTTTTTTTTTTCAATACAATCCCCAAGACCTACCTCAAATGACACCTTCCTTGGTCTGTGTCCCACACCCATCCCCCTTAGAAACGGTCTCTTCCTCTTCGTGGATTGTATCTCGGACACTTAGGATCTGTTATTTTTGGTAGGAGAGTCTCTTTTGGACCTGATTTACCTCTCCTACTCGGCTGTAAGCTTCTAGAGAAGAGGGATCATGTCTGGCTCATTTTTGTCACCAGCAATGCCTTGCATATGATAAATATCTAGTAAATATTTGTTGAAATTGCACTGAATTTCCCTCTGAAGAGTTAATAGTATCATAGATTTAGAGCTAAAAGCAGCCTTTGAGACGGTCATCTAGTCCAACCCCCAACTGTGGTAAGGAAATGGGGGTCTAAAGAGTTTAAATGACCTGCCCATGCTCACTCAAGCGGGGAATGACAGAGGCAGAATTTGACCTCAGCTCTCCTGCTTCCAAATCCAATGCCTCTTTTCAGAACCAGTGAAAGGTATGTGAGTTAGCAATGTGGCGTAAGAGAAGCGATGGGGTGAGGGCACAAACTTTAGAGTCAGAAGACCTAGTCCACATCCTGGCTCTGACACTTCATAGCTATGGTGTCTAGCACAAAAGAAGTGTTACATAAATGTTAGTTATTGTTATTGTTGTTATCATTATTATTATTATTAGATGCAGGGCTCTGTGAATCTCAGTTTCCTCATCTGTAAAAATAGGCACAATAATATTTGCACCATTTATATAAAAAGGTCATTTAGAAGAATATAAGCACGAGACTAACAAGATATTAAATATACAACAGGCTTGTTGGGAGTCATTTTGGTGTAGTGGAAAGAATGCCATCTTTGCCACTTACTACTTGTATTAGTTTGGGGAAACCAGTTACCTTCCCGTCAGCCTCATCTCTAAAATGAGGAGAATAATGGATGAGATGATTTTTTTTCTAGCTCTAAAGCTACAGTCCATCATCCTTGCCTTGATTGACACATACAGGAGCACACACGATTCACACCTGAGAACATAGTCAAGACAACTCCCTGTCCCTTTCTGATTGACCCATGCTTGGGTGCCAGCCCGGGTGAAGGTGCAGCGATGAAACACCAAGCTCAGGGAACAGCTGGCAGGCCAGTTTGCCTGGTGTAAAGAGTACATGAAGCGGAAGGATAGGAGATGAGTCAGAAAAGGTCAGGAGGAGTCAGACCATGTTTCTACCTGTCCCTACCAGAGGAGAGTGATTGGTTGTCCGTGGGCATGGGATAAAAATGTGGAACAACTCTACAGCTGGCAAGTCACTGTATTTGGGGAATTGTGCTGATCTGCTGGGCACAATAAAGAGCCCTCACCTGGCTCTCTCTCCCTCTCCCTCCTTCAGAGCCAACCATTTCCATAACAACAGTAGTGTTCAGGTAACAGACAAGCCTTGAAGCATCTGCAAGGAAGCCCTGGTCACTACTTGTACTTTAATTGTTTGCTGGTTGGTTTGCTTTTGAACCTGCTACTTTAGGGTGGCCCTAGGAGGGGGAGAAGCTGGTGCACACTTCAGCTATTGACAACAGATGTGACCTTTCGGCCCTCATGGGTCAACTTGCCCAGTCCTCTTAGTGTGTCAATAAGGCCCCAGGGAGGGAGCTGTTCCCTCCACAGTGAGTCATGACAGAACTCGAGTGGGAGGGCATCAGGTCTAGGCACGGTGGGAGGTGAGAGAATAGTTTTGAAATCTCAGCTAATACCAAGCCCGGAATTTTGGGTCTTAGCTAGAACTGAATTCTCTGGCTAATCTCTGATCTGGTGGTCTTATTTATCCATGACAAAGGAGAATAATTGGTTGTCAATGGGGAAATGGGAAAATGCTGAGATACAAAATGGGATGAAAGAATAGCCTGACACATGAATGTGGGTGAAATAATTCCAAGGGCTATGGTACATTGAACTGCACAGAGCACGAATCTAATTTGTGTTTGCCTTGGTTCTTGCATAGACTTAAATGTACACTCTGGTGGTGCAGTGGGTAGGGCTCCAGGCCTGGAGTCAAGAAGACTCATCTCCATGAGTTCAAATCTGGCTTCAGACCTTGCTAGCTGTGTGACCCTGGGCAAGTCACTTCACCCTGTTTGCCTCAGTTACCTCATCTATAAAAATGAGCTGGAGAAGGAAATGGCAAACCATCGTTGCCAAGAAAACCCCAAATGGGATCACAAAGAATCAGACACTACTAAAAACGATACCAAAACAACAGCAAATGTATACTGTAGTATAAGGGCAATTGTGTGACACAGGCAATAGAGCATTGGACTTTGAGCCAGGAAGACCTGAGTTCAAATCCTGCCTCAGACACTGCATAGCTGTGTGACTCTGGGCAAGTCACATAACCTCTGTCATCTTCAATTTCCTCTCTGTAAAATGTAACTAATAAGAGCACGTACAGCCCAGGGCTGTTGTGAGGATCAAATGAGATAACATGTGAACTGCTTTGCAAAACTTCAAGTGCTATATAAATGCTAGCTAGTAGTAGGTAATGGTAGTCACAATTGTAGTAGTTGTACTAAAATATTCAAAGGAGATTTTCAATTTAAGTATTTTCCCCTTTTTCTTTTTCCTCTTACTTCTCACAGTGTCATCTTCTTTCTGTTTTTGGCCCATTTAGCCCCATATTTGTGTGTGTTTTGGGGGGGGGAAAGTTTCGTTGATTTTTTTAGATCAGTTTTTTTTTCCAGTTTTAAGCATACCACCCCAAACCCATAACAGAGACAGTCTCTCCTTATTACAAATTAAAAAACAATCAAACAAAACCAACTGATGCATATCTGGTTGTATATGAAACATTCTGCACCTATAGTCTCCCACCCCTCTAAGGAAAGAAGGAAGATTAATTTCCTATAGGATCATAGATTTGGAGCTGGGAGCGACTTTAGAAACCAATAAGTGCAACCCCTTTATTTTACAGATGAGGAAACTAGGGCATAGAGAGTTAAGTGACTTTCTGAGGATCACGTAGCATTAGCTCTTCCTTAATTCAAATATAGTGCCCTGTTTTATACAGTCCACTACCTCAGTGTACTTCATCTTCTGGACCAAGATGGGTTATTACAATAATATAGAACATAGCTTCATTTTGGCGTTCATTCCAATCATGGTTGTTATTCTGTATATTGTTTTCCTGCTTTTGCTCCCTTTGCTCTGTATCAGTTCAGATAAGTCTTCTCCTATTTCTCCAAGTTCTCTGAATGCATTCTGATATTTTATATAGAACAATTACTTCGGCCATTCCCAAATCAATGGGCACCCATTTGGTTTCCACTACTGTGGACATATGAAAAATTTGAAAGACAAAGTTTCTGCATGATTAATAATTTTATCAATTATGGCTAGCAGATAATTAATAAAATGGTCATTTGGCTTTCTCTCATAAACCAAAGATGAATCATGGAGGCTTGTATGCCCTTGGATGAGTGGGTGTTCCCAACAGGTAGAAATCATCTCTGATTGGTTAATAATTAATGAGAATGAATATCATTACGAGAGATGGGCCTATTCTAATGAGGGGCTAGGTAAATGACTCTGATCCTGTAATGGACAAAGAGAGGCCCATCTCTAGCCAGATACCTTGGGCAATCTATACAAAGGGATCTATCCTCCACCTAGTCAGCGAATAATAAATGATGGTGGGGTAAGAATTCCACTGGATAAGATGGTCTAGGTGGGGTAAATTTTGGGGCAAGGTCAGAAATGTCCTTGAGAGACTGGACTTTAAGTGAGCAAACATAAAGAAAAAAAAAACTTGGATTCTCCCTCTCCCCAATATTTATTGATTATTAATATAAGAGAGAAATAATCATTTCCTCTCACTACCACAAAAAAAAGTGTTGCTATAAATACATGGGATCTTTCTTTCTGCCCAGCAATGCCCAACGATATCTCTGGGTCAAAATGTCTGAACAGCTGAAGTAATGGTTTTTCTCATAGAATTCCAAATTGCTTTGCAGAAGTCTTGGACCAATTCACAGCTGCAGCCATGGTATACTAGCATGCTAATCTTTTCCTAACCCTTCCAACGTAGACTATTTTCATCTTTGGTCATCTCTGCAATTTGTTGAAGCATGAGGCACACACCTTAGAGTTATTTTAACTTGCCCTCATCTTACTCTTTCCTTCAGCTGGCGGCTCAGGTCCTGGAACACAAAGATATAGGTTTTGCCATGGTGGACTCCAAGAAAGAAGCCAAGCTTGCTAAAAAGCTAGGTGAGTGTGGTTTCCAGAAGATACCACGGGAAGAAACAAGTCACTGAACATTTGCATGTTTTTCCATATGAGAATCTGACCACTTTTAAACAAAGTGAAACAAAGTGTATAATTCTGATACAAGTTGGGTAGTATACTCCTTTTTGCAACAAGGAAAAAAAGTCAGTCATGAATATTAATATGACTTTTGTCACAATCATAAATTTAATCATAAATTATAGAAAAAAGTCTGATTAAAATAAACTATGGGCATGAACAATAAATGGCATTTATATAACACTTAAGGGTTTAACTCATTTAATAATAGCTAACATTTATACAGGACTTTATGGTTTTCAAAGTACTTTACCTATGTTTTCACATTTGAGCCTTATAACAACTGTAGGACACATTATTGTAGTTATTAATATCTTCATTTTACAGATGAGAATATTGAAATTGAGAAACATGGTTACCCAGATAGTAAAGTGTCAGAGGTAAGACTCAAACCTAGGGCTTCCTATTTCCAAGTCCAGATTTCTATATGCTCTCCTATCTCAATGCCTACATTATATCATTCTTCAACTGCATAGAGACTTCTGGCTCACCGTGGATAGATTCAGGAGTACGCTAGTATGTTTAACAACTAGCTCTCAAAAAAAAGTATGATCAACTTTTAAGTTTAACTTCATTATTAATATTTTCTCCCTTACTTTCTTAAGTCTAAACAGCAAAACAATAAATCAAACTCAGATTTGTAGCATTTACCTACTTCTAAAGTATAAATGCTCACATTGAAAATTTAATAATTGGCTCTCATGAACCAATTACAACTCATACAAGCTGGCTTCAGCATACCCCTGGAGAGATTCCATAAAACAAACATCAAATGTTGTCCTTTTCTGTCATAAGTGATATCCTTCTACCCTCCTAGCTTGATATTAGCAGCAGAGGTCTGAGTGTCTAGAGAAATATATACTCAGGTGTGAGCTATTTTTGGGGTGTGTCCCAGGGCAGGTTACAAAATCAGCTTTCAAATCCATCCTATGCCCTTCTTGGCCTCTTGGCTAGACCTTTCAAGAAAGGGTAGCATTAAGGGCTCTCCTAATGATGGCTCTGTGAGGTTACTGTGGGTTCTAAGCCCAAGCCATCACAGCTATGTGCAGTCATCAGCATGGAGAGTGCTTGCTTAGATCAGATTTGCTTAAATGACTGGAATAGAGTCTTTGACACCTTTGACATCCCTCTCCCCATGTCAATATAACATGCTGATGCACAAATGTGCTTGAAGATCTTTACTCCTAAAAATGTACATGGGATGAGGTACACTCAGGCAACTTCTTCCCCTTATCATACAGGGGATCCTTGAATGTTAGTTAAGGTTGGAAGGGACTTCACAAGCCATCAGATCCAATTCCCTCATTCACAGATGAGGAAACTGAGGCATCGAGGGGTTAAGTGACTTCACCCAGATTCAAACATCTATGAAGTGTCTGATGCAGAATTTGAACTCAGGTCTTCTTATCTCCACATCTAGCACTTCTAGTCTGACTCTCTCAATTTACAGATGAGGAAACCAAGGGCCAAGAAGGGGAAAGGACTTGCCCAAGGTCTGTCTGACTGACAGAACTGAGCCCTGGAACCCAGGGCCTTCATGCTCCAAATTCTACAGTGTTTTGTTTTGTTTTGTTTTCCTACTACAACATACAGGAGTGCAAACACACACACACACACACACACACACACACACACACACACACACACACACACACAAACATGCTGTCCAGCCAGCTTTTCTGCTTGGTCAGTGAAGGAGAGCCATTTTAGGAAGGAATTATAAAATATGACCTTTGCAGAAAGGTTAATTGGATTTGAAAGGTGTAAACATAGAAAAATAGGCATATGGGTGGTCTTCAGGTACACGAATGTTCTTCATTCCAATGATGGCAAACAGCTGTGTTCCATTTTCATGGAGGCTGTAGCTGGAGACCCAAAAAAAAAAAAAGGATGAGATTATAGCAGGCTATATTTAGGTTAGACATCCAGAAGAACTTGAAATTGGGAGATACAAATAGGTCATGAAAACAGATGACATCATCTTCTTCCCTGGAGACCATTTATGGCAGGCACCCAACTATATGGAATTCATAAATGCAGCCTTTCCCAAGGGCAAAGGAACAAATTAGGTTAACAGACAAATGACCATCTGTCCTCTCTCCCTGGTGCCTAAAAGCATTCCAATAAAGCCTGCCTTCATCTTTCCCCACAGCCAGTCATACCCTCACCCTACTTTCTTTTCTCTTCTTTTTTAATGAGGATTTGTCACTGTCGGAGGGCCTCAGATATATTTGCTATAGAAAAACACCCAGAGGCAGAGTAGAATTGAGGAACTGATGCAATAATGTTTTTAAAGTGACCAGGGCCAGTGGGTGTACCTCACAGAATTGTTGTGAGAGAAGTAAATACTTAAGATGCTGTAAAACTATGAGCTTATATGGTATTAGAAGCATTGCTGGCAGGTGGAGACATTTTGAGGCTGGCTAGACTCAATAGAGGCACACATATCTAGGCCCAGCGGGATATTCCCTCAGGCTCTTTGATCCCATATCTGCAGTTTACTGAAGCTCTCCTTATTTGTGCCATCCAGAGCACTTGATCAGTGCTAAGGACTGGAGCAAGGAATATAGGATCACAAAGTCTGTATCAATCAATCAATGGAATACCATTTGTTAAGCACCTACTGCATGCTCCACATGCTGAGCTAGGCACCGGCAATACAAAGACAAATGTTGGGGTGTATATGTTTATATAAATACATAAAGCCATATTTATATATAAATATATACAAGTGTATATATACGCACACACACACACACATACATGTATGTATGTATTTGGTGGTGTGCAGGTAAATATTTGACAACCAGCTCTCTGGAAAAAATATACAAGCAAAACTTTTCAGTTTAATATGCCTTATGAAAATTTTCTCCATCACTTTCTTCTGGACAACCAGCAAAAGAATAAATCAAGCATTTGTCAATTTTCAAAGTTTAAATTCTCACCCTGAACACTGAATAATCGGCCTTTATAACCCTGAATATACAAAATGGATCTAAGGTGATTTGGGAGATGGCAGGGGAGGCGTTAGCAGCTGAGGAATCGGGAAAGGCTACATGTAGAAGGTGGCATGCGAATTTGGCCTTAAAGGAAATGAGGAGTTCTAGGAGATGGAAGTGAAGAGAAAGGGCGTCCCGGGGGGAAGGGGGGGGCATCCAGCACAAAGGCACGTAGGTGGGACAGAGGGTATTGTGGATGTCAAACAAGGTGGCTAGTTTAGGGACCTCAGAGATTACCCATTCCAAATCTTTCTTGTTCACATAAGGACACTTAAATGCCTTGTCCAGGGTCACACAGAGAGCAAGCAGAAGAAATAAGATTTGAGCCCAGGTATTCCAACATCAAACCCAATGAACATTCTACGGCACCGCGACTCTGCTGCAGGCCGCTTTGTTCCTTGTACTAGGGCGTTGAAGCAAAACCACAGTGAGCTGAATGTCCTTTAAGACTAATGGTCCTAACTACAGTGTTTATTGGGGTAACTAGGTGGCACAGTGGATAGAGTGCCTGGCCTACAGTCAGCAAGACCTGGGTTCAAATCTAGCCTCAGATACTTACTAGCTATGTGACCCTGGGCAAATCATTTAACCTTGTTTCCCTCAGTTTCCTCATCTGTAAAAATGAGCTGGAGAAGGAAATGGCAAACCACTCCAGTATCTCTTACAAGAAAACCCCAAATGGGGTCACAAAGAGTTGAACATGACTGAACAACAGCAATAGTGTTTGTCATTATCATTATGATTATATTATGAGATTCTGCACTGGATAGACCACTGAACCAGAAAAACATGAGTTCAAATTCTGGCCTTAGACATCCATAACTGTGTGACCCTAGGCAAATCACTTAACCTCTGCCTCAGTTTCTTCATCTGTAAAATGAGAATAATAATCATACCTACCTTCCAGGGTTGATATGAGGATCAAGTGAAATAATATCTGTAAAGCACTTAGCACAGTGCCTGGTACATAGTAGGCACTTAATAAAGATTTGTTTCCTTTCTTCCATTATAGAACATGATAATTATCTCATTATTAGTTGCTATTGTTATTAATAACATATTTACATAGTGCTTTAGGATTTTGCAAAGGGCTTTACATATTTTAATGATGAACAGGATCTAACAGCTAGAGTCAGTGATGACTTCAGGCATTTGGCTCTCCTCCTCCGCAATACGCAGTTTGTGATTAGGCATCTGTTTAGCACCTTCTGTGTACAGAACAATATAGTAGGTGCAATAGACAGTAAATAGAAGATATTTGACAAAATCATGGACTTTCCGAGTTAGGAGGGAGCCTAAGGTAGAAGGAAGGTTACTTAGAGACAGTAACAGCTAATATTCATAGAATACTTCATGGTTTGCAGAACATCAACCTGTTATCATCACAATGTCCCTGTGAGGGTAGTACTACAGGTCTTCCTATGATAATCCTTATTGTGTGCTGGCTCCCTCCGCTAGATTGCAAGCTCTTTGAGGGCAGGAACTGTCTTGCTTTTTTCTTTATGTATCCCAAGCATTTTGCACAGTGCTTGGAACAGGGTAGGTACTTAATAAATATGTATTAACTGACTGTTTGACAGATAAGGTAACTACGGTTTGGGTGGTAGGCTGAACAGAGGTTGTGTCAAAGGCAGTATCTGCAGCCAGGTCTCTCCTGATTCCAAAGCCAGCCCTCTTTTCATTATGCTACAATGTCTCTACCACCGCTGGATTGTTTCACAGATGAGGACCCCAAAGCCCAGAATAGTGAAAGGATTTACCCAGAGCTCTTTCCACTGTATTTTGTAGCAGATCTGGGACTCAAGCCCAGGTGTCCTGACTCCCAGATGAGAGGAGGCAGTGGGGTATGGTGGAAAGAGTGGCAGATTTAAAGTCATATTACCTAGCTCTGTCACCTCCCGTGTGACCTTGAGTGAGTAGCCTACCCGCTCTGGGCCTCTCTTCCACTGTAAAATAAGGAGATGGGATTAAATGACCTCTAAGGTCCCCTCTCGCTCTAAATTTGAGTTATGAGATATAATCCCTGTCCTCAAAGGAGTTTACAGGCTAGTTTACAGGTAGTTTGGGGCCACAGTGACCCCATTTGAGGTTTTTTGGGTAAAGATACTGGAGTGGTTTGCCATTTCCTTCTCCCACTCATTTGACAGATAAGGAAACTGAGGCAAATAGGGTTAAGTGATTTGCCCAGGATCACACAGCTAGTAAGTGTGAGGTCACATTAAAATTCAAGAAGATGAGTTTTACTGATGCCAGTGCACTCTATGCACTATGGCACCACTTAGCTGCCCCAGAGTCAGGGGGGGCCTGAGTTAAAATCTGATCTCAGACACTTCTAGCTGTGTAATCCTACGTAAGTCATTTATCCTTTGTCTGCCTCAATGTCCCCATATGTAAAACAGGGATAATAATAGCATTTACCTCCCAGGGTTACTGTGAGATCAAATGGGATAATGATTATAAAGCACTTTGCAAACCTTAAAGCACTATGTCAAGGCTATTATTATTATTATTAGTTGGGGAGGCAAGACATAAAATAGATAATTATAGAACAAAAGTAAGTAATAACAACAATAACAGTAATACTTAACATTTATATAGCACTTAGGTTTGCAAAGCACACACACACACACACATATATATATGTATATATGTATATATATGCATATATATATGTATATATACGTATATATATATATATACACACACACACACACACACACATGTATGTGTATATAAAATCGCATTTCATTTGATTTGATCCTGTAGTCTAAACAGCAAACAGAAGAATGATGGGTAGAGAGCAGAGTAAGATTAGTCTGAGAAGGCTTCATGAAGGAAGTGAGTCTGAAGTTAGGTCCAGAAAAAACCCAATAGAAATGGATTTCCCATGGGAAGGTTAACTTTTTTTCCTTGCTTCTTTATTTCTTGCAGGTTTTGATGAAGAAGGAAGCCTGTACATCCTGAAGGGTGACCGCACTATTGAGTTTGATGGAGAATTGGCTGCTGATGTCTTGGTGGAATTCCTTTTAGACGTAAGCATGGACTCACATTAGCTCTGAATGGAACTATTTTGGCTTGAATTCAGTCTGGGCAAAACCTTCAAAGAACTGAGAACTTGCTAACTGATAATCTGTTAGCAATATTTATGATATTTATGTTGGCCTCAGTTTCCTCATCTATAAAATGAGCTGGAGAAGGGAATGGCAAACCACTCTAGTATCTTTGCCAAGAAAATCCCAAATGGGGTCATGAAGAGTTGGATATGACTGAACAACAACCAAAAATATTTATGATATTTGGAGCTTTTCTCCTGTGTTAAAGAGAGTCTTACTTCTCCTGGGAAGCCTATATCTCAGGCTTGTTACATTTGAAAGCTATTCTATTTATGTTTGTTTAGCTGTTATGCTTCTTTAACATATTTCTATGTCCACCCATCCATTGCCAACTGATTACTTCCCATTGATAATTCCTTGATTCAGTTAACTGCATCTTTCTGATGTTGCTAGGGAGAAGATTGCAAAGATGGAAGACAGGAAATATAGGAGGACAGCTAATCTGTAAGGGGAGGAAGGGGAGGGTAACAAGTTGAGGGCTTTTGCTGCTCTTAATGCAGAAACAGAACCAGATGGCTTCCCAAGGTAAGATCTCCTGTATTGGACTGAAAGTTAGGAGAGTAAGGGTCTAGGGATGATTTGTGACCAACTAAGCTATGGAACCACAGGTATCCTTCTTTACCTCCCGGGGGCTTAGCATCCTTATCTGTAAAATGAGGGAGCCAAACTAGATTCCACCTCTAACATGCCATGACCCTATAATTCTAAATGGGACAGACTCATGTAAGGCATCTCTACTATGGAATGCAGCCCACGTGGTCTGGTGTGTGTGTGTGTGTGTGTGTGTGTGTGTGTATGTGTGTGTGTGTATGAGCATATACAATGCACATGTATGTGCAAACACATACATATATGTGTATATGTGTATGTCAGTATGTATATATTCTCACACAACAAACAGAAAGGAAGAAGGAAGGAAGGAAGGAAGGAAGGAAGGAAGGAAGGAAGGAAGGAAGGAAGGAAGGAAGGAAGGAAGGAAGGAAGGAAGGAAGGAAGGAAGGAAGGAAAGTTCGGATCTTTGATTTCATAGAGGAGAACTCCAAATGTGTAAACTTCCTCCACCAATTTGGATCAGCAGTTCCTCTGAGGAATGTCTGAGGATGCTGAAAGTATAAGTGACTAGAACATACAATCAGTAAGTGTTGAAGGAAGTAATTGAACCCAGTTCTCAACTTCAAGACTGAGTCATTAACTACTTCATGCTGCAAATACATTTGTGTCTTTGTGTGTGTATATATAGATATGTATATGTGTGTAAACATACATACATTTATATAGAGACAAATTTACATAGCATGTTCATGAGCCATACTCATGCATACATTCACTCCCATACTAATTTTCACCCATAGAATTACATACACGCCTAACTACTGATCCAGAGAAATATGCCTATGTGTACAATATACAACAATGTATTATATTGTGTGTATATATGTATACACATATATTGTGTGTATGTATGTACAATATGACACCATTTAGCTGCATACCCACAGGTATGTGTGGCATGTTAAGGTTCACAAAGCACTTTCCTCACAACCATTCTGTGAAGTAGATAGTATGTTATTATCCCCATTTTACAAGTGAGAAAACTAAGGTACAGAGAGACTCAGTGTTTTCCCCAGAACTACATAGGACTCAAACCCAGATATTCAATTCTAAATCTCATATGTTTCACTGTTCAGTGTTGAACACTGTTCAGCATTTCACCATATTGCTTCTCTGTGCAACAAAACTTACAGATAAAACAATGCAGATTCACAAAGGTATTAGCATCCTGACTGTTGAATACTTTTCCAGAAGGTGGTCAAGTCCTTTGTTGCTTTCCCTATTGATACAGAGCCCAGCGCTACAGTGATAGGCAGACAGATACTCCCCTTCAGTGTGTTACAAATGCTTATAGCATTTCTGTACAGTAACACCTCACTGTTCCATACCCTCAAACCCCAAGTCTCAGAAAGCCTGGGACTTCTCTGAGATGATGTAGGACTACCTTCCAAAGGAGGTCTGGACAATGTCCACTTCTTATTCCAGCCCTTTCTTATAAAACCCTGTATGGAGTAGGGTATTTAGCCCACCCTAACTCCACCCTAGCCAATCCATGTGACTAGACAAATGTTTGATTGTCCTCTGGAAAACTAATAGTTTAACTAGGATTATATATAGGATTTGGAGCTGGAAGCAACCTCAGGCACCATCTAGTCCCACCCTCTCATTTTACAGATGAGGAACCAAGGTCAAGAAAGGTTGTGATTTGTCCAAGGTCACACAAATAACATGTCTGAACTGGTATTCAAATCCAAGTTTTCTAACTTTAAATCTGGCTCTCTTGCCACTGCACTGACCCACATCCCATACAGAAATATATTTGTTGTTGCAGCTATTTGAAGACCCAGTGGAGATCATCAACAGCAAACTGGAAGTCCAAGCCTTCGAGCGCATCGATGACTACATCAAACTCATCGGCTTCTTCAAGAGCGAAGACTCAGAACGTAAGTCATCTACGGATTTCAGCCTATGAGCCTGAGAAAGTGAATTTTCCCATAGGGGACAAGGAAGGAAAAACATGAGGGGCCTCTCCAATCATACAAACTGATGTATTTACCTAACATGGAGAAAAGCAGGCAATGAGTTGAGACAGTCCTTGGGAAGGGACAAGCATTCCCTCAGGATTATTCTCATTTTTCCATAGATCCCAGCAATGTAGGTCTTTCCTCTAAAAATGCAGGTAGTGATACATCCAGGCCTTCTCCTTTATATTTATAGGCATTTTACTATAATAGGTAATATACTATAATAACTAATAGTACTAGGTATAATACTAGAGGGAAATGTAATGTATAAGAGAATTAGCAAGGTAGGGGGCAAGGAGGTCTAGATTGTAAAGGGTTTTGAACGCCAAACCAATAAAGACCTCTTCCCAAAGATGTGATTTGAACCGCTCCTTGAATCAAGAAATCAAAGAAGCTGGGAGGCAGCGGTAAGGAGGGAGAGCATTGCAGGCTTGGGGAAACACCAAGTCAGATGATGGGGTAGCATACACAAGGAAGACTAAGAAGACCACTGTTGCTCTATTGTAGACTGGGTATCATCATAAACTGTAAGAAGACTGGAAGGGTACGAAGGGGGCAGGTTATGAAGGGCTTTGAATGCCAAAGGGAAGATCTTCTCTTTGATCCTGGAGGTAACAGGGAGCCACTGGAGTGGGGATTGGGCTGCAGACAAGTGCTTTGGGATTGTCACTTTAGCAGCAAAGCAGAGGATGAACTAACACGGATCTTGTTCTATGTCATTATCAAAGTACTAGAGGACTCTTTAAGCTGAAGGCAAGAAATAGGAGAGGTAAAACCTAGAAAATTGCCCATCGTTCTCCCACCAGCCACACCCCAGCCTCATCCTTAGCCTCACTCCCTTTGGATTTACAGCTAAGAGATAATGGAAATGGTGAAGTAATGTCAGAGAAGGTGTTCGCTTTGAGAACACTAACGATGCTTGGCTTTTCTTTGAAATTAGGGAAATCAGACAGTGAAGAAATTTTTGTTAAGTCATTTTTTCAGTTGTGGCTAGCTCTCCATGACCCCATTTAGGGTTTTCTTGGCAAAAATAATGGAGTGGTTTGCCATTTCCTTCTCCAGCTCATTTGACAGATGAGGAAACCAAGGCAAACAAGGTTAAGTGACTTTGTCCAGGGTCACACAGCTAGTAAGTGTCTGAGGTCAGATTTGAACTCAAGAGAAGGAGTCTTCCAGACTCCAGGCCTAGAGTCCTACCCACTGCGCCAGCTAGCTGCCCCTGAGAAGAAACCAGAAGAGATGATTAAGATATTCCTGGTTTATAGTAAGTAACAATAGAAGGCCAGCAGTCTGGACAGCATAAAAAGATTTAAGCTAGGGGCAACTAGGTGGTGCAGTGGATAGAGCTCCAGCCTTGGAGTCAGGAGAAACTGAGTTCAAATCCGGCCTCAGACACATAACACTTACTAGCTAGTCACAATGTATACTGGGCAAGTCACAACCCCATTGCCTAACCAAAAAAAGATTTAAGCTAGTCTAAAAGGGTCTGAGTGGTCCAGGAGACAGAAGTGCCTTATATTCTTATCCTTTAATATAATTAGATTTGTCCTTGGTTCAATGAGGGCTTTGGAGCTCTGAACCAAACTGTTTTTCGTCATGAATGGATTGATAAATCCATATCTTTAGATTTAGTAAACCTGGGGTTGCTTCAGTGCCTTCCTCCATCCTACCTATCATTCCACTGATTTTCCACCTACCCATTCTCTCTCATCCAGCCTCCACCTTCTCCCACCTTCCCCATCCTCCCTCTCAATCACCACAACATACATCTTCTCATCTATCTATTTTTCTGAATGTGTGTCTGAGTGTGCTTATCTGTGTGTCTGAGTATACTATGTAAATTGTTTTCCTAATTTGATTCCTCTGTCCTCCAAGAGATTGTGCATAGAGAATCTCTCTCAGCAGCTATACTTTCTAGTGGAAAGCAGTAGACATACCAATTCTGAATGGACAAATTTTCTCTTAAGAAAAGTGGCTGTGCCTCAGTATACCACATATTTGTCACCTGAAATTTCTGACTGAAGTTTAGGGCCGTATAAAAGCTTAAAATGATTTCATTTCAAAATTCCCCATAAGGGATCAGGTCAAAGAAAGGGAAAAATCCAATGTTGGTGTTAAGGCAGGACAAAGAAAGAGAACAGACTAGAATCTTCCAAAAGCGGACAATAAACTCCAAAGGCTTAAGAAGGCTTTAATTACTACTATGTGGCCATTAATTATGGGCAGCTAGATAGCTCAATGAATAGAGTGGCTGGGCCTACGGTCGGGAAGATCTGAGTTCAAATTCAGCCTCAGATGCTTACTAGCTATGTGAACCTGGGCAAGTCACTTAACCTCTGTTTACCTTAATCTACTGGAAAAGGAAATGGCAAACCACTCCACTATCTTTGCCAAGACAGTATGGTTCACAGGATCGGGAAGAGTTGGACACAACTGAACAACAACAACAATGATCACTAATTAATTTGGCTTTATAGTAAGGTGAATTTTTCAGTCGTCATCCTGCTAACTACATCCCTCATAGAACCACAGATGTAACAGTCAGAGTTTGTATTTGAGGGATTTTTGTTGTAATCATTAAAATCTCTGTTTCTCTGTCCCAGCTCCTTTCTACTCCCTCTTTTCTACCTGCCTACCTTGTAGAAGAGTGATAAAGAGTCTTACTTTTCCCCAAGAAACTTCAAATGATTGGAACGCTCCATGAAGGCCTCATGAGTTTCATTTCTGACTTTGTATCCTCAGAACCTGGCACAAGGCCTGCCAGATAGTTGGCCTTTAGTAAATGCTGTTGATGGGTTGATTTAATCCAGGCCTGCACAACCTGAACCTCACCAAAGGATTTGGGCAGCCCACGGAAAATATAGAGAAAAACATCCTCTCCATTTTTTTGCAGGGTCACCCAAAATCCTTTGGCGTGCCCAAGGGCCACAGGTTGAGCAGGCCGATTTAATGCAATTGAAAATCATTATATACCTTTAAATAGTGATATACAAATATCCTCCTAGTATAGGAAAATAGAGCATATTATAGTATAGGATAGAAGATATCATCTTCTATGAAAAGGGTGGTGGTGGCAATACAGAGCTGACCTAAGAACCAGCGAGAACCAGGTTCAAGTCCTGATTCTGACTCATATTAGCTGTATTACCTTGGGCAGATCACTTTACTTCTCAAAGCCCCAGGAAACTCTAGAAAAATCTAAGTTGCAGAGAGAAAGCTGAGCTGTATTGATAGGATTTTCCTATATCAATGAAATCATAGATCTAGTTCCTTTCCCCCATGTAAATATTTTTGTTACTCTAAAATCAGATGTGAGCTCCTTGAGGAGAGAGACTATGTTTTCTGTTTTTATGCCTAGAAATAGTAGATGCTTAGTAAGTATTTGTTAAGAGAATTGTTGGTACTCTAATATCACCAAAACATTTTAAAAAAAAAGGAAAGAAGTTTCTGGAGCGTGGATATTAAAAATCCTTTTCCTTTCATCTTCACCCTCTTTAGATTACAAGGCATTTGAAGAAGCAGCTGAGCATTTCCAGCCCTACATCAAATTCTTTGCCACTTTTGATAAAGGGGTAAGTAGACATCTGTAAGGATGAAGCACTGAGCTATGAACTCTACCTTTCTCTACCTTTCCCTTCCCTTCCCTTCCCTTCCCTTCCTTCCCTTCCCTTCCCTTCCCTTCCCTTCCCTTCCCTTCCCTTCCCTTCCCAATTAGCCTTCAATCTTATTATCTATTTCCCAAGAAACCAGTCATGGGAAATAAGGGACAATTAAATTAAAGAGGGATATTAAAATGATTTACCTCAAGGAGTATCTAACCATCTGCTGCCATCACACTTTTAAGAAATAAAACACAGAAAGGATAAAAGGGTCCCTTTAAAGTGCAAAGTGCCCTTGGTCTAGAGGAACCCTAAATCCTAGGGAGTCCTAAGATTCCATTGGATCATCCCAAATGGTACCTGCCCTGAGCCTTCCAGAAGTGGCTGGGGTGAATTTCTGTTAGGAGAGCTTTCAAAGTAGGCACAGTGGTTCTGAGTATTCTATATTAGATTTCCCTGGACATAGGGAATAGAGAAGGAGTTGTCCTATTCTCCAGGATTTTCCCAGAACTTATTATAAGCCCAAGAAACTTTCTGGATTGTGTAACAACTGGTCCTCTTCCCAATCCCCACAAACATGGCAGGTGTTCCTACAGCAGGCAAAGGGAAAGGAATACTGCCCATGGAAACTTTGTGCTCAGCATAATTAGAAGTAGTTGGCAGCCAGAAGGCATTTTCGATGTCTCCCTATGTGCTCTTAGAATATCCTAAAGGATTAAAACACTGTCCTAGGAGGTTGTCCTCAATTTGGTGTAGAAGGCAGGACACAAACAACACCTGAGGACAATCGATAGGAAGGCCCAAAATACTGTGGGGTTAATCCCAGGAGCCTTCAGTAGCAGGTAAGTTTTTAGGTGGTTTTTGAAGGAGATAATGGATATGCATTTGTAGAAAGATGAAAGAGACTGGAGAGGGGAACAGTATGCACATGCATGAAGGCAGGAAACAGCAAGCAGTATATATGTGTATAGGAGTAAAAGGAAAGCAAATAGCCTAATTTGGCTATAGCTGAAGGATAATGTTAAGGAACAACAAATGATGAAGATGGAAAATTATGGATAGGAAGTAAATGGTGGCCCATCTGATGTCTTTACACTTTGTGTGTGTGTGTGTGTGTGTGTGTGTGTTTGTGTGTGTTTGTGAAATAGGTAACAAGATGGAAAGCTAAGAGTTGATTTTGAATCTTGAATACAAGAAAGAGTTTAGATTTTGTATGATTTAATTCAATTCTTCATCATCTGTGACAGCACGGTGATGGGTGTGGAGGATGCAAAGATGGAAGGCAACATGGCAGGCACCCTTTAAGGACTTACCATCTTTGAGAAAGGATAGAGCATGTACACACCCAAGGATGTATAAAAGAGAATACAATGGGGCAAAAAAGAGAAGAGATTTTATTTATTTATTTTGGCTAGGCAATGGGGTTAAGTGACTTGTCCAGAGTCACACAGCTAGTAAATGTCAAATATCTGAGGTTGGATTATGAACTCATGTCCTCCTGACTCCAGGGCTGGTGCTCTATCTGCTGCACCACCTAGCTGCCCCGAGAAAAGAGTTTTAAGAAAATACTTAAAGGGAGAGACAACTTTCACCTGGTGGTGGCAGCTGGAGGCAGAGTGCTGCTGGAGAACCTTCATAGAAGGTGTTGCACCTGAACTGAGCCTGGAAGGAAGAGTAGGTTGAGAGGAGTAGGGAGTCTATTCTGAACATAGGGAATAGCCTGTGTGAACTCATGAAGGCAGGAGAGGACAGGATAAGTTCTGAAAATAGGCATGAAGGATAAATTCTGGCAATAGGTAACAAGCTATTTTGGCTGGGGTGCAGAATATGTACTGGGAGTAGAATGAAATAAGGCTGGAAAGCCAGGCAAGTGCTCGATGATGCAGAGTTTGAATGTTATCCTATGGGCATTAGAGAGCCCTGACCAAAAGATTTTTGATCAGAGAAATAATAAGATCATATTTGAGGAAAATGACTTAGTTCTGGAAGAATTGGCAGCGAAAGGTAGTGGAAGCAGGAAGACAAGTTAGGATGGTTTCATGAGTGCCCCAAACAGTGACTTGATGAAAATGGTTTTTGAGAAAGTGAATGCCAACAGTGTGAATTAGAACACGGAAATATTAAAAACAAGATGACCCATTAGAAAGCTGTTGTAGCGATGAAAGAAAGGAAAGGACAAAGATATTGTAGAGGATGACTTAGCTGGAGGACTTTGTGACCCACTGAATAAAGGAGAATTCTGGAAAGAAGAAGGCTCCCAGCTAACAAAGCAAAGTTGATAAAGAAGGTCAATGTTGAGAAATCTTTACTTCTGAGCTCTGTGGGACATTACAAATTGCTCTAAGCTGGTTTCATTTTTCATCAATTGAAATGGTGCCTAAACAGACTCAGAGGGTATATAGGCTGACCATTTTTAGAATAAGCATTAGCATTACTGTCTGCCCTTGTGTGATCACCATATAAACGTCTTAGTGCTTTCCTCTCCTCTGGCAAAATCTGTCGCTACCATTAAAATAAATAAGTGGCTAAACTACTTAGTTATATGGTCACCAGAGGGCCTAGTCAGCTCTTAATATAGCATTCTCAAATAGTGTAATAACACTAAGGAGTCAGATCAGAGCTTTGCACAGAGCCCGGCTCACAGTAGACTCTCAATAAATATTTGTCAAAAGAATGAATGAGCTCCACTTCAGATAAAGAGTGAATTCAATCTCTCTGCATCCACGGGCAACAAGAAGCATGAAAGCAGGGACTTCCCAGGAGGGCATTTCCAGGGCTAGTGGAGGCAAGGGAAGCCTTGGAAAAACTTTCCTTGGGGAACCTAGAATTTATACATCATCTGGACCTTCTATCCAAACTTAAAATCCTGTTGGCCCGGGCATAAGTGCAGAGCACACACATGCCATACACACACATCCACCATCACTTCTGATTATATTTGAGACCACAATTTGGACTTCCTCTTGCTTCCAAGAAGCCCTGCTTGCAGATTCTCCTTGAATGATTGCTGCCTCATCCACTGACCACTCAGTGACAATCTGTGACTAGCCCTTCTTGGAGGAAGCCTGTCCAAATTGTGGGTCTTGAGGTGGGGGCCCAAGCCCTATGATGACAAGGATGATGCCCTATTCCTTTTTTTTCTCAAATTAAATTTTCTTTTTTTATTGTGAATTAACAGATACAAACATTTCGCTACACAAAGTTGAACAAAAATAGGCTTGTATAAGAAACTATAAACTTCTATGTATGTACTTTAATGTGCTATGTGTATGTTATATATACATTATACATAATGTATATTATATATATTCTTAAAGAAATATATATGTATATACACACACAGGCAGGATAGATCATATAGCTGGCAGGTATCACAGATGCTGTTAAATGGAACCCCCTCATTTTACAGATGAGGAGACTGAGGCCCAGTAAAGTTAAGAGGCTTGTCCAGTGTCACACAGTTAATAAGGGGTCTGAAGCAGGCTTCAAATCAAGTCTTTCTGAATCTAAATCTATCCACTGCCTCTCATTATAGGACCCAGGTTAAAAATCTGGCTCTGACCCAATGTGGGTCATTTTAGACAGTCACTTAACTTCCTGGGTCTCAGTTCCCTCATCCTTAAAATGAAAGGGTTGGGTTAGATAGCCTCTGAGATCTATATCTGTGGTGTCTATGAATACACACACATAAACACACACACACACACACACACACACATACATATATATTTAATTTAACAAGGAAGTGACAAAACTGTTCTTTTTATATGCCCCTCTGCATGTTTCTTCTTCCATGTATTTAATAAAATGTTTTATTAAAAATCTTTTTTTGAGTTTACCCATCATCACTACCTACCCACTAGCCTATCCCACTCCCACCCCCCAGGAGAAGTCCTGTGTCTTCATGAATACAGTAATAGCTTAAAGGAAGACACAGTATTAATTTCATTGGGAGCATCAATGAGAATATTGTCTCCGAGAGGGGGCAGATCCAAATTCCAAAGTGGAAAGAATCCAAGAACATTGTAGTTAAGTACTTTCCTCTGCTGCATTTTTCCCTCCTTTTCCCCTCCATAAGTGGTTACTTTTTCTACTATCTAGGCCATGATGTAACTGAATCCAGAAAGTCAGGGTCCAGTGTCAATATCCAGCCTGAGGCTGAAGGGTACTAGAGACAATCAGAGACAGAGAGAGAGAAAGATAGAGAAAGACAGAGAAGAGAGAAAGACACAAAGAGAAAGAGGGAAAGAGACAGACAGAAACAGAGAGACAGAGAAGGGGAGAGACAGAGACAGACAGACAGAGACAGAGGCAGAGGAGAGAGAGACAGACAGAGAGAAGACAAAAGACAATGTAGTATAGTTAGCCAACTGCTGGATTTGAACTCAGAAGGCGTGGGTTGAAATTCTGGCTCGTCTGTTTATTACCTGTACGACCTCCATGGTTACTTCAGCACCCTAAGCCTCGGTTTCTCATCTAGAAAGTGAGGGGGTTTGACCAGATGACCTCTGAGGCTTCTTCCAGCTCTAAATCTCGGAACCTATGAAGAGGTATACGGAGAAGGAACCCGGCTCCGGTCTGCTGCCCCTGCAAACAGACATGATAGTTCAATTTCCTTCCTTCACTTCTTTTCCCAGTTCTCTCTGCTTTATGCTTTTGAGACAAATAGGTTGCTTTGAACAAAAGGTACTGGGTGGAGGCTGGCAAAGTGCTTATTAAAAACAAAACAAACAAAACCAAACAGAAACAATTGATTCTACTGGCAGCTGGCAAGCCAGGAGTCCATCAAAACTGATGACAAAACGCTGGGATTTCCCAAGGTCTTTTGATTTGAGCTCCCTATAACACTCCCCACCCCTTATGTTACCAAATCCAATTGGTGTAGTGAATAGAGACCACCACGAGGGGGCAGGCAGCTGATCTGGGCATCTCCCCACTGTCACTCCTGGTTCAGGTATTTTCTTTCACACACCAGCACTGGGTGAAAGGAACCACTTGGGTTTTTCTTTAGAGCTTTTCACACTCTCAGCCTCTCCAGTCCCTTCACAAAGGAGGTGTCAGGTGTCCCAAGGGCAGGGACTCCTGAGGCAAACATGCCGGGGGGGGGGGGTTTGGGAGAGATGAAATGTCACCCAGGCCATTGGCTGGTCCCCCATGCTTTTCATCTGGGGCCAGGAGACATTCAGCTAACGATCTGGGTCATCAGGAGAGATGGCCAGAAGAGAGTGGAACTTGGCACCGTAAGACATAATTCTCCTGGCTGGCCCTCCCACTCAAATAGCTAGGAGGCTAGAGAGTTAGATCAGAGGAGGGATTCTTGGTTGATTACTGTTACCAAAGGCTTTTGTTTGAGTCCCAGGGAGCCTCCAGAGGCTAGGTCAATCACACACCCTCACATTCCAGAACATTGTTTTCAACTTTCTATTTTTTTTTTCTTTACTCCATCCTTCTCCAACGCCTTCTAAACAAAATGGCGGTAATAGTGAAAAATAAAATTAGGGTAGTAAGAAAAATAATAAATTACATTAATTTAACACTTTAAAATTTTCAAAGTGTTTGTGTGTGTGTGTGTGTGTGTGTGTGGAGAAGGGAGGAAGTCTAAGCCTGTGATTTCATTGACTTAGGAATTCTGGGTAAGGAAACTATACTAAAGTCAGATCAGCTACTGTTATATAACTTAAAGACTTAGAAAATGGGGAGGGGGGGCCTGACCAGGTCATATAACCAGTACATGTCAAAGGTAGGACTTGAACCTAGGTCTTCTTGACTCATTTGATTCTCATGACAACCTTCCAATGTAGGTATTACAAGAATTATTATCCCCATTTTACATTTAAGGAAACTGAGGCACAGAGCACTTAAATGACTTGACTATAACTACCTAGCTAGTACTGGTCTGAGGCAGGATTTGGACCTAGGTTTTCCTGCCTCCACCACCAGCATCTTATCTCCACACTATTTTACCTGTCCTGAAAATGTGATTAAATTCATCAAATTTTAATTCCAATTGCTCCTTGATTCCATATAATAATGACTGCTGATATCAATCTTACAAAGCATTTTGCATTTTTTATCCCATTTGATCCTCCTGGCTCAGAAATAGAGTGGATTGAAATCTCACCTCTGACATTTACCGTTTGTATGACCTTGGATAATTTGCTGAGGCCTCAGTTTCCTCTTTTAAATAATTAGAGGGTTTGACTAGATGATTTCTCAAGTTCCTTCTAGCTATCTATGAAAACAGGAGCTATCATTATCCTCATTTTATAAATGAGGAAACTGAGACTTAGAGAGGCTTGCCCACTTGCCTACAGTCACAAAGCCAGGTTTGAGAAGCCAAAAAGAAACAGAAAGCCTGCACCAGTCTGTCAGCTTTGCCTTTTTATATTCCCCTTCCTCCTTTCCCCTCCCCCTCCCTGCTGAGGTAACTTTAAAGAACACAGACCCTTCCCTCAAAGAGACAGCTCAGTCACTGCTGTGCACCAGTGCTCAGGGAAACCATTCTGACTCCAGCAGTTAATTTTTTCTCATTTCCACAGGTTGCAAAGAAGCTAACCCTAAAGATGAATGAGGTTGACTTCTATGAACCGTTCATGGATGAGCCCACTGCAATCCCAGACAAACCTTATACGGAGGAAGAGCTTGTGGAGTTTGTGAAGGAACACCAAAGGTATCTCACCACAGGTCATTCTTTGAGGTCCGGGGACCCCAAAGTCTTGGAAATGGGGTAGGGCTTTTCTGGTGTTAATGCCTCCTGGGCCTATACCACGAGTGGCCAAAAGTTTGGCAATTATCTTTTCAGGTTTGGTAGGTGCATATTTCCAGGTCACTGAGGGCCCTAGCTATACTGTGACATCCGATGTGGTAACCCCTTACAGGTAAAGTCAGAAACTCCCATAATGCCAGGCTGCTACAGGCAGGGTCAACCCCAGGCACATTTATGTTTGTGTTGAAGCTTGCACCTAGGTGGTACAATATATAGAGCACTGAACTTAGAGAGTCAGGGAAGATCTGAGCTCATAATCCAGGCTCAGACACTTACTACCTGTGTGACCCTGGGCAAGCAACTTAACCCCAATTGCATCAAAAAGAAAAAAAAGGTTGATGCGAAGACACTGTCTGCCCCAGACATGTTTTAAATTCCTTGCCCCAGTTGAAAATATTGCAAATTATGAGTCCCTCTCCACTTCTTTTGGTTCGTCTTCTCTTCTCTTTTTCGGGTTTTCCTCCCACAGTACCATTATACCACCTACCACTTAGATAACACCCTATGTCATAAGCAATTCCTAAAGCTCTCCTCCTCTTGAAAACTCCAATCAGCCTTTCCCCCTGGGCCCTAATAAGACCGTGCCTCTGCCGTCAGAGACCAAGAAGATGCTCTCAATGTCCCAAAGTACTACTGATCCTAAGAGAACAATTTGAAAGAGCCATGACAGTGCAGTCTTCTCACATTCTCCTAGGGGACAACTAACCTGATAAACAAATATGGTAGTGATTGTTCATGGGTTAGTATATTACTACTCTAAAGCACAGACTTTCATTTTAACAGGGATGCCCTGGAGAAAGAATGCCTTATCCCTAAATAATAACTCTCTAACGGTGGGAATTCTTTTTTTGCGTTTTTATTAGACATCTACATATGCCAATGTATTCCTCTCCTCCTCCCTCCCAGTGAGCATTTTTTAATAAAGGATTAAAAACTTGATTGGGGTGGGGAGGGTATAGGGAAAAGTTTGGCAAAACTAAACAGCATATCAAAGACAAAAACCAAAAACCAAGCCTGACTTTATATGCAGTTTTCCAAAGCCATAATCCCCCACCTCTTCGAAGAGAGAGGGAGGAGTCACTCACACTCTGGCAGACCTGCAGGGGAAAACTTGGTTAGGAAAGTCCCATGATGAATCAACAATTTCAGAGCCTCTAAGAAATAGTCCTTATTACTGAGCACTTGGACTGGGGGTGGGGAGTGTGACCTTTTCGGAAATGAATTTCACAGGGTGGAGAATACTGTGTGTTGTCATTTAGAATACCTTTGGGAGAAGGGACAAAAGTGGATCGTTGTTCTTCCAGCTACACAAATATAGACCACCAGGCAAATACCTGAATGCAGTCAAGAGGAATATTACCATGTTTCCAGGCTATAAATCAAGCACAATGACACAGTGGAAAAAGAACTGGATTTGATATCAGAAAACCTGGATCCAAATACTGGCTTTGCCATTATCTGTTTGATCTTGGGCAAATCACTCAACCCCTTTGGGCTTCTATTTCCTCAGCTATGAAAATCTGTCATATGAGGAAATCCAGGAACATGGCAGTGGGGGCAGGAGGAAAGCATGATGGAGAGCATCTGGGTGAAAGTCAATAGAGGGAGAAACAAAAAAATATTTTGTCATTGGGATATATACCATATGGACCACTTGGACAGAACGAGAAAATAGGTGAGGAGATGGGAAAACAGATCACAAGCCAGGCACAGACATGATATAGTAGTGTTTGGGGACTTCAGTTATCTGGACATCTGTTGGAAGTCTCTGCGAAAAGCAGAGCAAGTAGTAACTTCTTGACTTGCCTTGGTGTTAAATGTATCCTTCAAAAGGTGGAGGGACCAGCAATGGGAAATTCTGCTCTGTGTCTGATTCTCACTAACAGGGAGGAACTTGTTGAAGTGGAAATGATGAGAATACTGGGAGGAAGGGGTGACTCCCCTCTAGAGTTTGTGATACAAAAGGAGAGAAATTTGGGTATAATCAGACACATACCCCAGGTGTTGGAAAAGCTGTTTTCAAAGGATTCAGAGTAATGATAAGTAGATTTCTGGGGACTAAAAGTCTATAGAGGAAGTCAAAGACATGATCCAGGAATAGTGTGATCAGCAAAAAAGGAGGGTCAGTCATGTAATAAGGGCAGGGGAAAGGAGCGAACATTTATATAGCCCTTACTATGTGCCAGGCACTGTGCTGAGCGCTTTACAAAGATTATTTGATCCTCACAACAACAACCCTGGTAGGTAGATGCTGTTATTATTTCCCATTTTACAGTAGAAGAAACTGAAGCAAGTAGACATTACGTAACTTGCCCAGGGTCACACAGCTAATAAGCATCTGAGGCTGGATTTGAACTTGTCTTCCTGACTCTAGGTCTAGCACATTCTATCCACTGTGCCATCTAGCTGTCTCCAACCTAAAGCATGCCTGGAACAAGATATTCAGATAGACTAATCTATCCTTTCCTGTTCCTCTAATCTTGTTCCTAAACCTGTGTTGAAGCTATGCCTGCTTGGTGTAAGAAGAAGGTTTTCTTGAGCCAGAGACTCAGTTCAATTCCCTTGGATTCAGCAAACATTTAAATGTCTATTATGTGCAAGACATTATGCTGGGTGCTGGGGATGCAAAGATAAAAATGGAGTCAATTCAGAGTCATTCCCAATTCCGCTACGACCTATGTGGCCTTAGGAAAATCACTTAACTCCGTGGGACTTATTTTCTTTATCTTTATAGCTAGGGAGTTATAGATAATCTCTAAGTTTTCTTCCAGTTTTAAGTCCAGTTTAAGTCCGTGATCCCCATAACACAAGAAGCCTATTGTCCCTGAAAGGATAGGAGATATAGAAGGTAGGCAGTGAGAGAGGTGGGAGACTATGGGTGCTGAACATCACATACACTATCAGACTTCATTGATCTGCTAACTAGTTTGATTGAATGGTTTTTGTCTTTTCTATTTCTTTTGTATTCTTTGTTGTATTACAAGTTTCTCTAGGCAGCAAAGCAGAGGAAGGTTATATTAAAAAATAAAAGCAGTAGAACAACAAAGGATATCAGTTTTCTTCTGATGTTAGAATATATTTTAAAACATAGATTGTGATAGAGATAAGACCCATAAGAAAGTTTTTCAGAAACTATGAAGAATCTAGGGAAGGGGGAGGAATCAGAAGAAGATAGAGGCTGAGGGAGATTACTTCAACAGTCTGAGATGGAAACATTGTGGTCCAGACAAGGTGTTCAAATGAACGGAAGTAGGAGAAGCCAGGACAAGGTCAGGGAATAGCCTATAGTTCACTTTGACTGAAACACATGCAGAGGTGTTGAATGAAATAAGACTGGAAAGGTAAGTCAATGTAAGATTGCAGAGGGCCTTAGATGGAAGGCTAACAATTTCATATTAGAGCCTATGAACATGGAAAGCTACTGAAGATATTTGGAGGGAGGGCATGACTTCTTCAGATCTGTGAATTAGGAAGAATATTTTGGCAACATTAAGAAATACGGATTAGAGAGGAAGAGAGATTGGAGGCTATTATGTTAAACCATATGAGATTCAATGAGGCCCAGAAATGGCTAGGAGGGAGGGGATTGGAGAGGTGGTATCATGAGTGTGGAGGAAGATGGATAGAAATGAGAAAAACCAGAATTGATAGGGCTTAACAACTGATTTATTGGCTGGGGTGGGGGTGCGGTGAGGAATGAAAGAAAGTGAAAGCTCAAAGATGACTCAGGATTTGAACTTGGGTGACTAAGATAATGGTAGTACCTGATAGAGAGAATTGGAACGTCTCAACTTTTGGATATGTTAGATTTGAGAAGTCATTAGAAAATAACAGAGAAAATGTCCAGTAGGCAGTTGAAAATGTAGCATTGATGTTTACGGGAGAGAATGAAGCCGAAGATATAAATTTGGTTTTGGAGTTATTTGCTTAAACATGATAAATTAAGTCACAAGAGTGGATGAAACCCCCCCCCCAAAAAAAAAAGAATGTAGAGAGAGAAGAGAGCTGAGGATGGATTCTTAGGGTCATCTACACTTGGTGAATGGGAAAAAAATACTAAAGGGGAACAGTCAGAGATGTGGGAGTGGAGAGGGGGGCACAGAAGAGAGCTATGTCCCAGAAGCCAATGAAGGAAAGAGTGTCAAGGAGAGGGTGGTCAACAGCATCAAATTCGAGTCAGGGAGGGAAGAAGAATCAAGAAATGAACACTGGATTTGGCATTTAGGAGATCATTCATTGTTGACCGAGAAGAGAATGTTTTCAAGGTGGGGGGGGAGGGGATGGAAGCCAGACTGTAGGGAGCTGAGGAGTGAGTGGGTGCTAAAGTAGAGACAGAATCTAAACCACTGTAGTTAGAGGTTTAGAAGTCTAGCAGTAAAGAAAAGGGGAGAGATAAGGAAATCATTTCTCTGGATGGTTGAGATTTTATCCTTCTGTCAGCATCAGTGAAGGAAGAAACAGATAAGGGAAGACTAAAGAAATGATAGAGGAAATAATCAATGCAGCAGACTCACGCCATAGCCTAGAGAGGGCACCATGGAGGGCCCTGTCGGAGAAGATAGCATTGGCAAGGAGGACCACCTCACTTGCTGAGACTGAAGGAGGACAATAATAGAAGGGAAGAGATGGAGAAGTTTTGAGGCATAGAGGGAGATGTGGAAGATGGTGATGGATGCCTTCAGTCCTCTCAGTAAAACAAAGTTCTCCAGCGAGGGAGTAAGGGTGCATGCAGCTGGGGGGAAATAAGAGAAATTTTGGAACAGTTGCCTTGGAGAATCCTTTCTCAGATACTCACTGTGTGATCCTAGGCATCCTACTTAAACCTCTGTCTGCCTCAGTTTCCTCTTCTGTAAAAATGGGGATAATTATAGCACTTACCCCCTAGGATTATTCCAAGGATAAGATGAGATAATATTTATAAAGTAATGTGCACACCATAATGTGTCATATAAAGGCAAGCTATTATTAGTAGTATAGGGAACCAATCAGAGATAAATGTAACTATTTCCAGCAGCAGTAAGGACCCAGTTGAAGCGTAGCATGAATTCTATAGTTTAATGACTTCCTCTAGAAGTATTAGGAGTTCAAGCATATGTGCACAGAAGGGGGATGGTAGAGGACAGTGTGGATATATCAGGGTTGGAGATTAAAATTGCAGGAACAAGAGATGGGGTACCTCAAGTGTGTCCCAAGGTGCCTCAAGCTGGGTAGCTCCTCATTGGATAACTCCGAGTAGACAGTGGATGAGCACTTCTCAGGTGTGTTATAGTCAGTATCGATTTCATTTGTGGTGAATTAGATGGCCTCTGAAGTCCCTTCCAACTATCAAATTCTAAGATTCTAAGAGTCTAAGTACAAAAAAAGAGAATTCTCAAGTGGGAGCCAGTGAACTGGTAAGATGATTTTCTAGTGGGACTATGAGGGGAGGATTGTGAGTCCCAAAAAAGATCGGTAGGCTCAGGGGATAATATTTAGGACTCCAGATCCAAAGCTCTATCCACAAAGGACCAGGGTCATGATGAAGGTAAAGAGAATGTTCAGGAGGGAGGCAGGAGAGTAGAAGTTGGGGAATGTGGAAGGATACATCATTGTCATCAGATAGCGCAATTTGATGGTTCTGTATTCAACTACATTAAGTTCAATAAGCAATTATTAAGCTAGAAAGGAGAGCAGTACAAGATGACAACTGATTGGATATGGAGTGAGAGGGGGTCGGGAGGGGCAAGAAGAATAAAATGGTAACTCTAAGATTGTGAACCTGGAAGATTAAAAACCTTACAGAGGCCCCAAAGGAGTAGGGAAGTTAAGAAGAGCAGTAGGCTGTGGCCCGGGTGGGAGTGGGGGTGAGAGGAAGAAGAAAATGATGAGTTCCATTTTAGATATCTTGAGTTTGAGATGCCTATGGGGCATTCAAGCCTCGCAGTTAGAATATTTCGAGATGATGGTGAGCCCTGAAATGAGACAACACCTATGTGGGGGGGGGGGGCGGGGGGTGGAGATGGAAGTTGAGGAGCTGTGTGATTTGGGGCTGCCAAGACATTGGAAGGGTCATTTATGAGAATATGGAAGTCATCGAGGTAATGAAAGTCCAGAGCTGGGGAGAGAGGGAGAGGAAAATCAAAGTAATTGAAGAAATAGGGGTGTGACCTAGAGGCAGGGGGGTGCCAGAGACTGCTTGAACTGGCTTGCCAGGGCCGATTGTTAAATTTTCAGTGTAAGGATTTATATCTCAGAAAGCAACTAACTACGAATACAAACCAGGGCTTGATTTATTTTTTTTAATTGTCTACACTTAAGAAAATGGTGAAGAAAATGTTTTATGTGTTATGTGTCATTTAAGAAAGCTAGTTGTTAAACATTTAGCAGCCCATCTGCCTAGAGTGGATGGATGAATGATGGATAGATGAATGAATGAATTAAAAAGCATTGATGAAGTATTTACTTGCAAAGCACTGTACTAACCACACAAATACACGTATGATACAAATACAAATAAAAAAAATAAATACAAATTTTAGAAAAGCAAAATAATCGCCATTTTCAAGAAGTTCACATGCTAATAGGGACAACAACATATGTAGCAGATTTCAATTGCAAGTCAATGGAAAGACTCCATGGTCCTTAGGGTGCTACAATAAAGCAGATGATAATGAATCTTCTTTAATGATATTTCCATTAAAATATTAGTTTCTAATGTTTAAGCGTTTGACAGTACAAAGGCTCTGCCATTTTGCTCTCTTGGAGACAGGGCCAGGAATTGCTACTCGATCTGCGCCTGTGATTTCATCAATGGGTAGAATTCCTAGTAAGAGACTTCCCTTCATAGATGTAGGTCTTCAGCATCTTTGTCAGAATAGAAAGTCAGAATGACGTAAAAGATAAAGCGTTGGATTGAAGTGAGGAAGAGCGGAGTTTGAATCCCACCCCTGACACTTACGAGTTGTGCGGCCATGGGCAATCTCTCAATAAGTCTGGACTTCACTTTCCTCATTCATAAAATGTGGGTAATAATACCTAGAGCAACTAAATAAAAGGATGGTTTTGAAACCAAATGAAATAATATTTGGAAAATGCTTTGCTAACTTTGAAACCTCATCCTATATGTTTATTGCTGCTGTTAAAAATGCCAGCAACAAGGATCTGTTAAAGATAATATAATCAGTGCAAACTTTAAAGATGAAGAGGTTGTTGAGCTACGGAGGTATGGGCAAGCATCTTGATCTGTTCCAATACATGTAAAATTCTTTATGATCTGTGGGTGGAAACACCCTCTGGAAGGAGGTGGGAGTGGGGAGAAGTCTTAAGTTAAAGCTGGAGGGCCTGAGTGTATACAGGTAGAGTTCCTTGCATGGTGTGCGTCAGCTCATCTCCTTTGTATCATGTTGGAAGGAGCAGATGGGAGGGGGGCTTCCCTTACCCTTTGGGTCCTTGGAGTTGAAACCTCTTGTTGCTATATACTGCTCCTAAGCATGTCGATGGGATGAGGCTGCCATGTTGGACATAGGAGCTCTGACTAAAATATTTTTCTTTCCCTGCAGACCCACGCTACGCAGGCTGCGTCCGAAAGATATGTTTGAAACCTGGGTAAGGAAATGGAAAACCCATAATGCTTGTTAGCAATGGGCATGGCCACTAAAGAGAAGAGCCGTTTAACTTCAGATTCCAATCACCCGCCTCTCGCTACCCATATTACAGCAAGAGTACTGAATGTGGACTCAGAGGACCTGGCTTCTAATCCCGTTCTGCTACTTACTGCATAAATGAAAAGAGGCCTTAGAAATCATAGCCCAATCCCCATGATAGAAATGAAGAACTAAGGCCCAGGGAGGTTAATGTGCCTTGTCAAAGTCCATGCTGTAAACCTTTCCAGGCATTCAGAAACTGTAAGATAAGAGGATTGGATGGGGTGATCTTATGGTTTCCATCAACTGCATGATCCTATGAACAGCTAAACAAATATCTCTGTTTGGAGGACTCAATAACTTTCAGGATCCAAGCTAAGTGGCATTTGGCACTCAGCTAATTTAAGGTAAGGGCAGCTAGGTGGTGCAGTGGATAGAGCTCTGGGCCTGGAGTCAGGAAGATCTGAGTTCAAATCCATCCTCAGATACTTAATAGCTGTGTGACCCTAGACAAGTCATTTAACTTTATTTGCCCCAATTCCTCATCTGTAAAATAAGCTGGAGAAGGAAATGGTGAAAGCATTGCAGCATCTTTGCCAAGAGAACACCTAGTGGGGTCACAAAGAGTCAGACACGACTGGCAAAATGGCTGAATAACTGACTTAAGGTAGTTGGACTTACTAGGTTTCACAAAATAGTTCCGTCTCTTCATCCATTTTCCAAAGTTTCTGGTGTGCTCTGTGCTTGCATCAAGTTAATGTGGTTGGATTTGTAATTGTCTGGAACTTTGCTATAATATTGTTATGCAGGTCCTAGAAGTCTATGCCATAGGATGGTGCTTTAAGTGAAACACTGCTGGGAAGAGGACGTTATAATCCACTCAGTAATTAAGTCCCTTGGATGGGACCCTTGATGGTCCTACTTTATACTGAATTCCATTCTTACGAGGATTTATCACCCCTACTAGATTGGAAACTCCTTGTGGGCAGGAACCATGCTTCATTTATCCTTGTTTATCCAACCCAATGCCTATCATGGCGCATTGCACATATTAGGCATTTTATAGTAAGGTACCACTGTCATTATTTTGAAAAAGTTGTTTGCCGCCATTTTGCTCTCTTGGAGAGGGGGGCAGGGATTGCTACTTGATCTGTGCCTGTGATTTCATCCATGGGTGAAATTATTTAGTATGAGACCTCCCTTCATTGATTTGTATCAGCAACTCCTCATCAATTTATAGTTTTAGGGAGTTGCTTAGGCAAACTGAGAGGCTAAGTGATTTGCCCAAGTTCACACAGCTAGGAGGAAACTCTGTATACTTATACAGTATGTATCAGATGCAAAACCTGAACCCAGGTTTTCTGATTCCAAGGCTAGCCCACCATCCACTATGGCGTATTACCTCTTTGCTCTAGATGAAGATTCAGATCGACTGGTTTCCTTGTTTGTTTGTTTTTTCCTTTAAGCGTGGTCCATTTTTAATCAATCATTCATTTAATATATATTTTTGAACCCCTGCTACCCGGAATGTAAACGATAGCTGAGATAATACAAAATATTGGACAGTTTCCTATTTCTTTCCTCAAGCATACAACAGTGTATATGCCCATAGGCAGAGAAGCAATATCACCCCACATTTCACTGTTATGATTATCCCCATCACCATCCCCTTGAAACGTCTCTTCAGAGGCCCCACTGGGGACCTTTTGGAGACATTCATATGAGGAGAAGGAACACTGATGGATTTCACTGTCAGCCTTACCCTTCACATTTCACTTTATCCTGATCTGAAGCACAGGGAGTTGGTTCCACCTGGGCTTGAAGTAAGGAAAAAGAAGAGCTGCACAGTGCTAACCCATGGCTCATCTACAACTACTTTTATTTTGGATAGGATATGTTTGAGAAATACGTTATATGAATGAATGAATGAGCATTTTTTTTTTTTTGCTTTTTGGTGAGGCAGTTGGGGTTGGGTTATACAGGTAGGAAGTGTCAAGTTTCTGAGGCCAGATTTGAACTCAGGAATCAATGAGCATTTTTAAATATTATGTACCAGACACATAGTAAGTTACAAATACAACAGAGCTATCCCTTGCCCTCAAGGAGCTTACATTCTAATAGGAAGAGATCACACAGTTAGGGTGGCTCAGGGCCAAAGGAAGATGTCTAGAAAGTGTAGCACAATTCAAGCCACCAAGAGACCATCCATGGTTCCCCTTCCCTACCCTGTCCACAGTAGATTCTTTTTTTTTTTTTAGTTTTTAGGCAATTGGGGTTAAGTGACTTGCCCAGGGTCACACAGCTAGTGAGTGTCAAGTGTTTGGTCTGAGGCCGGATTTGAACTCAGGTCCTCCTGACTTCAGGGCCAGTGCTTTATCCACTGTGCAACCTAGCTGTCCCTGTCCACAGTAGATTCTTAATAAATGTTTGTTGAATTGAATTGAACTAAACCCCATGTACTGGGACCCTAAGGTGGAGGTCCAAAGGCATAAAAGACCTGGCCTCCTATCTTGGACACTTACTAGAGGAAGTGGGTAGCCAGGAAAGTAACAAGTCAGATAAGTCTGACCTGTTTCCTCATCTGAAAAATGGGCATAATGTTACCTTCAGTACTTTCCTCATAGGATTTTCACGAGGTCTTTGTGTGAGCAGCAGAGGATATAATGGCTGAGAAGTAGTTTTCAAGCCTTAAATTGTTATATGGATTGCTCATTTTATTATATTTTTATATTGTATTCTATGTTAAATTGGTTATTTTGTTACCTAAAACAAAAGAAGTGTGTATGTTTGATCAAGATGGCACCTTAGAGAGTCTCATATGATGAGCAAATGTATGCATTGTAAATGCCCAATCTTGGGCAGATCGACTAGTGACTAACACCACAAAGTTGGATCTTGAACACACTATTTCAATGACAAATATCAGCAGACATTCACACAGCACTTTGCAGTTTGTAAAGCACTTTACAGTCTCACAATGATCCTGTGAAGAAGGGACTATAGAGACCATTGACCTTGTTTTTCAGAGGAGAAAGTTGAGTTTCAGGCAGCTAGGTGGTACAAGGGATCGAGTCCCAGATTCAGAGTCAGGAAGATTCATCTTCCTGAGTTCAAATCTGGCCTCAGACGCTTAGCTGTGTGACCCTGGTCAAGTCACTTAACCCTGTTTGCCTCAGTTTCCTCATCGGTAAGATGACCTGGAGAAGGAAATGGCAAAACACTCCAATATCTTTGCCGAGAAAACCTTATGTGGGGTCACAAAGAGTCAGACATGTAGAACAACAACTGAACAAAAAGTTGAGGCTCAGAAAATTGCCCAGGACCACACAGCTGGTGATAGCAAAAGTGGAATGTGAATCCAAATCTACCTGTCTCCAAGTCCAGCTCTCTATGAATGAAAAAGTATTCATCAAGCCCTGTGTGTCAGGCACTGTGCTAAGCGCTGGGAATACAATACGAAGGCACAGTCCCTGTCTTCAAAGAGCTTGCATTCTATTAGGGGAAAACAAGTCTGCCAGGCTATATCTGGAAAAAACAAACAAAAAATTTAAAGCTATATTGGAATAATCCAGACTTATTTTTCAATTAAAAATGCATTTTCTGTGCACACCAAACCTTAATGGATCCCTTTCACTGATACTGGCAGAGTTAATGATTTTCTGGAAACATTTGGTGCATTTGACTCCTGCAGCTTTGAGGGAGAATATTCAAAGAATGTACAGGGGAAGAGGGTAGCTCAGGGTCAGTTCTAACTTGTCATCACCCTGGTGACTCCACCCTGAAAACATACACACCATGCAGGAGAGTAGCCAGCCAGAACACTGGGCAGAAGTCCAGAGAGAATTTGATTGGCTCATTCTTTGAAAAAAAAGAAAAGAAAAGATTCCTGCCTCTGTTAAAACGGTAGAAATAGGTCCAAAGAAGGGCATGCCAACAGTGAAAAGGAGCATCAGGACATTCTATGACAATGACTCAAGGAGTCTGGGAGATTGAACTAAAATTCATTTGCTTTTTTTTCCCCCTATCACAAATGTGTATACTCATGCAAAACAAATTTCTGTATTATGCATATTCGGGGGGGGGGGAGGGGAGAAAGAGAGAGAGAGAAAGAGATAGAGACAGAAACAGAGAGACAGACAAAGAAAGAAAGACAGAGACAGAGCCAGAGAGAGAGAGAGAGAGAGACAACGAGAGAAGGAAAGAAGGAAGAAAGGAAGAGAAAAGGAAGGGGAAAAGAAAGGGAGGAAGGATAAAAGGGAAGGAAGAAAAAAATATTCAGTCCACACTCTCAGTCCATCAATTTTCTGGGGGAGGGGTAGAATTTTTCATCATGAGTCCTTTGGAATTGTGGTGGGTCATTGTATTGATCAGTGCCTAAGTCTTTCACAGTTTACTATTTTGACAATTGCTGTTACTGTGTAGATTATTCTCCTAGTTCTCACTTCACTTTGCATCAGTTCAATGGAGTCTTCCCAGGTTTTTCTGAAACTACCCTCTTCCTCATTTTTAGAGCATAGTTGTATTCCATTGCATTCATACACCATAACTTATTCATTCATTCCTCAATTGATGGACATCCCCTCAGTTTTCAATTCTTTACCACCACAAAAAGAGTTGCTATAAAACTTCTGTACATATCAGTCTTTTCCATTTTTTTTTTATCTCCTTAAGGTATGGCCCTAGTAACAGTATTTCTAGTTCAAAGGACAAATACAGTTTAATATGGCATGGTTCCAAATTGCTTTCCAGAATGCTTAAACTAGTTCACAGCTCCACCAACGATGTATTAGTGTGCCAATTTTCCCACATCCTCTCCAGCATTCATCACAAAATGCATCACCTTTAAGACTGTACTCATTCATTCATTTGTTCGTTTATCCATTTATTCATCCATTCAATAAACATTTGTTAGGCACACCTACTGTGTGTTTAGATATGGCATGATCTCTGCCCTCATGGAGT